TTCCTTCCTTCCTTCCTTTCTTTCTTTCTTTCTTTCTTTCTTTCTTTCTTTCTTTCTTTCTTTCTTTCTTTCTTTCTTTCTTCTCCTTGTCTGCTTTCTCCATGTCATGCATGATTTTATATACCTTTATCAAGTTGCCCTCTATCTTCTTTTTTCCAAGCTTAAGAGTCCCAAATATTCTTGCCAATTTGTGTTCCCATTTGTTCTCCATGTAAGAATAAGTTTTCCATTTCCTGAAGGAAGCTTTCTTAACCTTTACAGCTTCCTGAACACTACTAGAGGCCACACTGGCCTCTTCCTAGACTTGGTTGACCCTTTCTAATTGTGGAATTCATTCCTCTTGAGCCTCAAACATAGGCTTTTAAAATACCTCCAGGCTTTACGGAGAGATTGGGCCCAAACTGTTCTAAGACACCATCATCAGGCTATCTAGAAATGTGATTCTTTGTTATGGCCTGAGCATGAATCTACATGAGTGTAACTGATGTCCCTGCTTTTACAACACCTTCCCCTTTGCATGCCTTCCTGATTTCTTTCATCCTCGAGATAATTCTCAGCATTTTGATCAGGTGGATGATAATATAACTCTAGATCTAACTTACATTTGCAGCCAGATATTGCCATCTATGGCAATTCTGTGGAGGAATCTAGTCTTCCAACATTTATTAGGCCAGCTTTTATACCCTCTTTGTCATGAAACTCAATATTTCCTCCAGTACATCCTTCCCTGTTCTTCCATAGAGCTTATATCTAGAAATGACTGTATCCCACCGATTCTCTCTGTACAGTCAATATCTACTGTATTCATTTTATCTATTCACAGCTGAACACTCCAGCCCATCACCATCCTGGCTTGGAGACTTCTAGCCCCAGCACATGCACCAGATCTTTTTTAAAATGCTGGTGTCTGCCTTTTGTCTCATTTTTAACTCCTGTCAGACTCACTCATTAATCTACTTCCAAGATAGGCCCTTTTACTATTTTCTGAAACATCTACTCCCTTCTGAAACAGATGCTGCCCAGCATCGGTTGGCTTTCTTTCAGTGATCAGTGTAAACGCTGATCCTGCTGCCTTTTGCCTGTTGTGGGAGATGTGTAGGGAGCTACAGGTACCCAGGACAGGAGTTCTAAAAAAAAAGTAACTGGCACCTAGCACAGAACATGAGAGGCGTATTTCCATTAAGCTGAGAAAAGGGTGGGAAGTAAAGGGCCCAGTCCTAACAGCAGTAAAAGAAGAATATAGGCGACAGACTCAGCTCTCAGAACATAATCAATAGTTTGAAGTCTCTCAACCAGACTTGAGTTTCTGGAAGGTTCAGTCAAGCTGGGCTCAGCCCAAAGGACCCTCAGCTATGTCATGCACCAACCACTCAGTCCTATTTTGGTTCAAGTGGAGCCCATCTCTCTTTCATACCGGTTTGGCTTGTCCCAAAAGAATGAAGGATGACCCTTAAGCTGTTTGGTAAACAAAGACTATGGAGGCCCTGCCAGGTAGGACCACCATTAGCTACCTGTATGGCTATTAATGTAGAACTTTTCAGCATCTGCATCCATTATGCTGTATTCAATATTGTTGAATGGATAGTCTCGGTCAGTGCCATTGACGTTGCCAATGCTGTAGCCATACTCAGTATTCTCTGGCACACTGAATACCCGTTGTGAGCATGCTGGGGGGAACTCATTCACTTGTCTTACTGTCACCAGGACAGGTACAGTAGCTGCAAAGTAGAGAAAGAGACCCAGAAAGCTTATATGATGACAGAGTTCCAACAGGCACTTTGTAACTGGCAAGCAACCAACCGCCCAACCTACATAACCACAGACAGTAGGCCAAGCTCAAATTATACATGAAGGCTGCAGACCTGTAAATTTAAACCCAAGTTTGCCAATTATACATAAAGTGGATGATTTGATTTTTAGAGGAAAGTGGGATTAGGATTGAATGAGAATATATCTGCTGTTTATCTCCCAGTGATAACTCCTTCTAGGTACTTTTCACACTGATATTGTCAGCTCTTCAAGGTGACAGGTCAGGAAACAACCCCAAGAAATACTAGAACTCTACTTTACTGATACAGGCTATAGTAACAGAATCTTGGAAGACTGACAGAGTTTCTCCTTCCGTCCCTCCTATACCAAAGAGAGTCAGTCTTGGGTTTCTTTCTCACACTTTCCTGCCTTCCTGTGCTAAACTCAGGTTTTGCTAGTGGCTGCTGCATTTCTTCAAGGCCATCTCTGTATTCCTCTACAGATATTGGGATGTAAGCCATGTGGGGATGAGTTCAACACGCTCTTGTCCATTTTGCTGGAAAGTTTGGCCCTTAAACACGCTGGATACATGAATGGGGTAGACCTACAATTCCTAATCCTTTGGGGCCAGAAATACATTTGGAATTTTGAGAACCTTCCAACAGCATTCTCATAAAATGGCTGCCCTGGGGCAACTAGTAAGAAAAAACCAATTTACTGGAAGGCAAGCTGATGAGGTTAATTCCTGCTACCCCCTCTCTACCATCTCAGCTTACATCTGTCTTTTTTTCTAGGCAGCTGGGCTTATTGCCAAACAAAACACTGGCTACAGCAACCAATCATTTGTCATTTCTAATGCCTCTGGGATACAGTGAAGTTCAGAAACACTGCTGGAAGCAAAGATAATGCTTAAGGCTGGTGTTTTGTTCTGTAGCATGCCACCTCGATTTTTTAAGAAATCTAAAAATAAAAATAGGATCAGGTGAGATGTAGAGCCTGGCAGGCACTAAGTGAGATGTCCGTGGGCACATTCCCATCCATGGGATCCACATTAGAGACCCAAGAGGTGGGCCTATATTGAAGCACATGACTAAGCACCATCACATGGAATGTGAGTATGCTTATCTTTAGGAATGATCCATTCTCTGGTTAATATGGCTAGAACCTAGTATAAGAACTCACCATACTGTTCTTATACACTGCCACTATTCTGCTAAATTTGTTCAACTTGTATATGTAATTTAAGTGCTCTATCTAAAATTATTACTCATGTTCCATTGGGAAAAGGATTATTCTAATACATATAGCAAGAACACATTTGTATTAAATATCCTCCGAACACTTCCCATTTGGTATAATTTTATTATTTCAATGCTATTAAACTTTTGATGGATTTGTCAAGCATGCATCTTGGTGGTGCATGCATCTATGCTGGGCTTTCTGACTGATCTGTGGGGGACGGCACAGATCACATGTAGCTGTTGTTTGTCTATCACAAATTTACTTAGCAATTGTCTCCAGTCATGCACCAGTGTGTGGGTCACATCAGTCTCAACCAATTGCTGTTTTTCAATTGCCTCCTTTGGTCTCTTATATGCCTTTACATTAATATGCTGATAGCTGCTTCCATGCAAAATAATTGTGGCATTATTTTACTTTCAATACTTCTGAAAAAAAGTATGATCATGTAATAATGACTATGAAAACAGGAAGGTGTTTAATACTGTTCTTTCTTTCTTTCTTTCTTTCTTTCTTTCTTTCTTTCTTTCTTTCTTTCTTTCTTTCTTTCTTTCTTTCTTTCTTTCTTTCTTATGGCCACCAATCTCAAAAAGTGACTCTGGGCAGCTAACAACTTTAAAAAACAGCAAAAAATGCAAAATGATTGGCAGCTGAGATAAATAAATTAATAAAATCAATACAGATATTGATAGCTTAATACATTTTTGTGCCATTATGATGTTTATT